ATATTTGCTACGCATTACTCTAGCCCAGAGAGATTGTGGCTCTGTGAGAAGTCGCCATCCCAATTTACACAAAAAAGCAGAGTTGACTTGCCTCATAGAATTTAAGCCTAGCCCACCTTGGTTCTTTGGTTTAGTGACTGTTTCCCAATTCACCAAGTGAATCCTCTTTTTCTCACCCGAGCTACCCCAAAGAAAGCTTCTAGACTTACTGTCAATTTTATCACAGATACCTCTAGGAACTCTCGTAGATTGCATTGCATAATAAGGTACAGACGAAAGTGAAGATTGAACCAAAGTAGCCCTCCCAGCCAGAGAGAGTGAAGATTGAACCAAAGTAGCCCTCCCAGCCAGAGAGAGTGAAGATTGAACCAAAGTAGCCCTCCCAGCCAGAATTAAATTGTGTTGAGGATATACGATGTATACAAAATATATCTTTTAGTTTTTTTTTATAATGTGTTGAGAATAGACGATATATACAAAATATATCTTTAACTTTTTCTTTTTTTTAAAAAAAAAAATTATGATGATATTGCCGTGGTCATCCTAAAAACGACTATCATAAAATGTTAGTTTTCTCTCATATACTAAAGTGAATTTTTAAGCTTCTACTGATTTTTTTTAATTATTTTTATAAAAAAATACTTTTTGGAAGAAATATAAAAAAAAAAAAAATAGCTGTATACTTGTATTTGAATGTTGTAAATTTTTTTTTCTGTTTTTGGAAAATTAAACAAGAACAAGTAGGTTTTGATTGTTACTTAGACTGGATATCAAATCCCGTCTACATCATTACCCTTCCGTGACAACCCCAATTAATCCAATTAAATTGATCCAATCCCATTTCAGACATATTAAACAACATACCAAATAAACAAACAATTTCTCAAACTTACTACTTTAAAAATTGCAATTAATGAATTATATGAATTAGGAAAGAAAAGTTACCGCAGATCCTAATTGGGGCACGAAGTTGAAGAAGATTAGGCTGAGATAGAAAGATATTACGAGCGTTGACACAAAGTTGGCGGATCTCACCTTCAGATAATTGCACCTGTTTTCCTCCTTTACCTTCTAATAATCTCCTAATTATATCATCCAATACATTTTCATCCATTGTTCATTCCATTGTCATCATCATTTTTCCCCTAAAATTTAAATTAATTCTGACCCTAATCCAAAAAACTACTCAAATCCCAATTAAATTGAACGAAAACCCAAAAAAAAAGAAGAAATCTTTTTGGCAGAAGAGTGAGAAAGAGAGGAAATGGAGGAGAGAGAAAGAGGAAGAAGGTATATTATGGAGGAAATGTTTACATACTATAAATTAGTCAATCAACAAAGTCGTTGTAGTATAGTGGTAAGTATTCCCGCCTGTCACGCGGGTGACCCGGGTTCGATCCCCGGCAACGGCGATTTTTTTAATGTAAGTTTCACTCCCCCCCAATAAAAGTGGATGCGGCTGCTAATTTTTAACATAAGATTGCGTTCTCATCATAATGTTAATTAAACTTTGTTAAATTTAAAAAAATAAATAAAAAAATAAATAAAAAACAATCGCTACTCCTCTGCTGATTCAATCTTACGAGCATGAGCATGTGTTATTTATTTATTTTTTTCTGTACTAGTAGTGGTAGTTTATTGTATGACAGCATAAAATTTGTTTAAAAAAAAATATATTATCCAAATTTATTAGTTAAGTGATAAGCTGATAACTAATAAAGTTATTAATCTAACCTCTACTTAGGCCCTTTTCACCTTTAAAAAATATATATTAACTAAAAATAATTTCAGTTCAGTAAAAAATAATTTCAGTTCAGAAGAAATATAATATAGAATCAGTAAAAATAACAGTTCAGTAAAAATAATTTAATAAGGTAAAGAGAACGGAGTCTTACACTAGCTGAGCGGGTCCACAAGTTATCAATATTATATTTTGGTCATTGTATTATCATTGTTTGTAGGTTCATCATGTATTTATGGACGTTATTCCCTTGAGTATCCGTTCTATTCTAATTTCTCATGAATTAACTTATCTATTTAGTAAGAAATACAAAGAAGGTTTTTTTTTTTTTTTTTTGGAAATAATCACCCCTCAAATCACCCTATTTTGAAATAACAATTTTTTTTTTCGAATATTCAAAAATAACCACCCTATACAAAAATAAAGTTAGAATTCACCACCCATTTCCTGAGTCCAACCAATTTTCCGTCAATTAGGCCCACCTAAAGGTTATATTTTTTCATTCTATACACTCAGAGCCTCAAATCTTTTTTGCTTAATTCATTTTCACCATAAACGGTCATAAAAAATTAAAAAAATAATTTTAAAAAAAATCTCTAAATTCTCTTAAATTCTTCTGCAAATCAACACAATAAACAACGAAAGCCTATCAAGAATAAATCAACGAAGCTAATTCGAACAGTTGGAGCCGGGAAACATGTAATTGATTAACAACCCATATCTTTCCTTAGTTGCCCTAATTAATGAGTAACAATCTAGTTGTTGTTGTTCGAGTAATTTTTGCTAAGTATATGTTCAATTATTGACTCAATTGTTTAATTGTTGTATGCGACGGGGAAATTCACCCAAAATGGAGAACCAAGGTTTGAGAAAATGAAAAATGAAGTGACGAAAATGAATCGAAGCTCTGAGTATATAAAATGAAAAAATAGCTGTTAGCTGGGCCCACTTGACGGAAAATTGGTCAAGCTCATGCAATGGGTGGTGAATCCTAATTTTTTTTTTTTTTTTTAATGGGTGGTCTTTTTAAATATTTGAAAAAAAGGATGGTTATTTCAATATAGGGTGATTTGAGGGTGGTTATTTCAAAAAACTCCTACAAAGATTTTGAGCATAAAAAATACGTATATTATTATTCATATAGATGACCCTAGGCTTCTTGCACAATGTTAAGCTATAAATGATTAATGTTGCTAAAATATGCATTTAGATCATCATGGCTTTAGTGATTAGAGAACAATGTTTATATTTTACTCTGTATAACTTATGATTAATATCATCTATATATACTTAGTTGCATTAATTGCTTACTTAAGCACAAAAAGTCCAACATGATAGAATATGGATGATTACAGAAAATTGTATTTAAACATGTAATCGTGTTACCATAAGAAAATATTACATTTAAAGATTCACAGGACTATGCATCTATCATCTATTAAGAACTGTAGTATACTTTCCTAAAAAAATTTAAAAAAAAAAAAAAAAACAAAAACAAAAAACTGTAGTATACAGTTATACACCGTACTGAAAAAAAAGTTTTGATTAAAGGAAGTTCTATAATAATTGAAACTTAGGGATCTACAGTTTATATAATTCTATTCTAGTAAGGATATTTATTTATTCTAGTACAAAATTGCTTAGAAATGCTTCTTCAGTTCTTTCAGTAAAAATTCCCATTCAAGGGGAAAGAATACTCATCTCATGGCATGCACATAAGGTTTCTTTGTGGATTTCTGGTGTATCCTCTGGTTTATGTATTGCAGCTATACTTTACATCAACTGTCAACCGTCAACCTTAAATACTTGCTGTCAACTATAAATTTTGAGCTCGAATTTACCTGCGGGATAAAACCACTTGTATTAAATTGTTGATAGCTTCTTGTTTACTATAAGCAGCTTGTTAAACATCTTACGATCTCACCTTATCTTCAAGGGTAGCTCTAAATTCACTATCGAGCACTGAAATATCAGACTCCTAGAGACTTTTCGACACCAGTTTTGGAAGTTTCTTCATCTTCAGAGCTCCATCTGGAGAGCCTGTTCCCAGTATAGGAAATTATAGAATATCGTGACACCAATACAGCCACAAAAGGTACTTTAAATCAACAAAAATATAACATGATCTCTACTGCCCAAAGATCACAGTACTCAACATTATCTTATGATATTCAGGATGGGATCTAAAAGTGACCCGATTAGATCAATGATATAATGATGCATGATTTATCATTTATGAATAAATAGAAGAGTCAAGGGAGAGGCTGGACTCAAAAGATCCTGTATCTTTGATTTATCTTGAAGCTTCCTAAAATTTAGACTCAGTAGTTTCACATTGATACCGAATACTTAATCATCTAATATTTCGCATGAAATACCCTCTCCTGCTTGGAGATGTTATGCGGACAACCCTTGCATGCCATATTTTATCTGCCCTTAAGATGATGACGATATGCTTTGTTCACCTGCTTATGTGACTTTGTATCCTGGGAAAAAAATTGATTCTCTAAATTGTCATCGATTGTAAAGTAAACCACTTTCCTGTACATATAACCTTTATGTTGTAACAAATATAATACATGAGTAATCAAGTTTTAAATATAATGGACAGAAGATAAGCTGGGTGATTCAGAAGTGAGTAAGACATGATACAGTCTGGTGGTATTATAGCATAAATTGATATGGAGATAGTAATTTGACAAATTGGAAATGCTATAAATTATGCTTCTTCTCACAAGTGTAAACTAATTCTTCCTCGCTATAATCAGATGCAGAAATACATCAATTTTTAATTCTTTGCTTCCCTCAAAATCCCATCTATAAAATTGTCTTCATACAATGAAACCGAAAATAAACTCAAAATTGGCTCAAATTACGCAAGTCAGGTCGTTTTCTTAAGGACATGGGACGACTATCTTTCTAAACTATAAGAAACCTTTGTCACTACAAGAAATAAGATCAAAGAGGGCGACTTTTAAATCGCCCTGAAGTCGCCCTCTTAGCATCGTTGTATTAGCTTCGCAGGGCAATTTAGATGTTTCGCCCTCTTTGACCGATTCAAGCAGGGCAACTAGTTTTTTCGCCCTATGAAATCAACTCAAACAGGACACCTTAGTCGTCCTCTTTGTCAGTTATCAAGAAGGGCAAAGCAAAAAAAAATCGCCCTGTTTGTTAATTTTTTTTTTTTTAATTTTTTTTTTAAAAAAATAGTTCTCTAGTACAGGGCATATTATAATATAGAAATAAGTAATACAATAAATTATATAATTATGTAATCAACATTATTTATTAGCAAAAAGTATATTACAATGCAAGAGAATGGTCTTTACAACAAACATGCTACTTGTACAACAAACATAATTACGCTAACATATTGCACAACTACAATATAATTATCACTCCATCGCTAGTGAAGCTGAAATTTATGGTTTGAGTGTCCTTGGACTTGTCTTCACTTGTCTTCCACATTAGAGCTGCAATTAATCATCAGAATTTAGTTTTACTCTTCAATTGAATTATTCCAGTAATGTTGTTACTCCATTTTCAGAAGGAATCAAAGAATCGAAAGTTTAACAGAAGAGGGTAAATAGTGAAAGAAAAAAATAAAAATGCTATAGGTTATTAATACATACAAAAGCATCAGAAATTCAGATCTGACCTTGCCCAACAAGTATTGCAGTCTTGCAGAATAGATGTCTACAAAGTTATCTGTTCAAAGTTATCCCACAAAGTAATCTGTCCAACAAAACTCAAGCTCATGCAGCTCATAGCCTGCATAGGAGGTTTTCAACAATGAAAAAGTTACTGACTCCCAGAAAAGTTAACAGATAATAAATATTCAGAACAAACATTCATATTGCATAAACATCAATAAAACCAATAAGATAGCATACAACATTCGCCATAACCTAGCAAATTCTTCAACGATAGCATCAGGTCTTAGACAGTGTAAAGTCAGATGAAAAGGCGCATGACAAATACTATATATACATATTAATTAACATTTCCTTAGACTAATAGTTACAACTTTCATAGACAAAAGAACAGAATTTAAAATAATCAAGGAATAAGATGAAATATTATGAACTCTTGCAGTAATCAAATAATCTTGCACGTAAATGAAGAACTTTCTAGCACGCCTTTTTTCGAAAAGCCCCATCAAAGGAGATTTCAGAGCCTCAACATCTTTAGCAGGCACCTTGGAGTAGCTTTGCGGCATAGATTGCAGTTAATGGTGTTTGTTCTGCACTCTTCAAAACAATTGTATACCTGCATGCTAAGGTAGGCACAACCTTCCACACAAACATGAATATAGGGAAATTCAATGGGAAATTCCACAAAAACTAAAGACACTTCATCTCATTAGATAAACACACATTGGTGAATTAGACCTTCGTGAAATAAAAAAAAAAAAAAGAGGCAATGCTAACACCTTAGCCTGTTTCAACACTCACCTGCGTAATATCTCATTAGACCAACACACATTGGTAATTCGGCTTTAGCAGCTTGATCATATGGCTTGCCATTGTCCCAAGTCTCAAGGGCAGCTATCTCATCAGTATGCTACTCAACGACTCTAGAGCAGTTGAACATATAATACTTTAGCCAGTTCAGAAATTGCAATTACACACATCAATTTTCAAATTCCAAGACCAATATTAACAAGAAATATGCTGCTTAAAATTTGAATTGTTAAAGTCAACCAAACTGATAGAAAATTGGTCATTCATAACCAATTTTTTTGATAAAAGCAGATTCACAATTATAAAAAAAAAAAATAAAAAATAATGCAGCTGAACAAATCTCAGATTATAGACATGTATAATGAAAAATATAAACAACTAATTAAAAAAACAACAAATTATTCAAATAATACCAGAATTTAGCGACTTGACTAAGGAATTTGAGCAGTGAACCAAACTAATTGTGCTTCAAACCCTAAATTAAATATAATGAGACAATTAATTAGCAGTAAATCCTAGATTGTGAAATTGAAATTTGATAATTTAACACATTACCTAAGAAGGTGCTTCAATAGAGGAAATTGCTTCAGCAGAGGAAAAAGCTCAGAGGCTGCTTCAATGGAGGAGAAAGCTCAGAACTCGCTGCAATCACGACAATCGAAAGCTTAACTACATAAATTTCGCATAATTTGCAACAAATTTCGAATCCTAACAACAATTTATAAAAATTCAAACAAATTAACAAGTGGTAAACCCTAGATTTTGAAATTTATATATTTGATAATTTAAGAAATACTACCTGGAGGAGCTACTTCAATTGGAGGACAAAGCTCAGAAGCTGCTTCAATGGAGAAGAAAGCTCGAAAATCGCTTCAATGGAGAAGAAAGCTCAAAATCCGCTTCAATGGAGAATACGAAGTATGAATGCTCATATCGTGAGGAGAGAGAAAGATTTTACTCGTACAATTTTATATTTTTGGGTTTGTCTTACTCCGTTGGGTTTTACTGAGTATTCGTCTTTGTTATTTGTGCGAGAAAGGAGCCAAAGAAGACAAATTTTTACGTACAATTCGTCGTCCTTTTTTTTATCAAGGAGGGCGATTATTAAGGTTGCCTTTTTTTTTTTTTTTTTTTTTGACAAAGAGAACTAAGAAACTAAAAACGAAAATAAATAAAATGACGACTACAAGCTAACTTTGTCAGGTGATGAGCATAACCAACTTCTTCTCTAGAGACCTTTTGAATCTGAAACCTTTGAAGACCCGCAATAATCTGCCGAATTTCCCGTAAAATCCAAATGTTCGAAATAGAAGCCGAAGACTGACCCCCAATCAAAGTCAAGATTGACATGCAATCCGTACAAAATCTCACACTAGTATAGCTCCTTTCCCTAACCTGCCGCAAACCAAGAAGGCAGGCAAACAATTCAGAATGAAGAGCCGAAGAAGCAAAGCCCGCTTGGGCTCCTCCCCCTACAACCGGAGAAGATAAGTCAGAAGATAAAAACCATCCCATGCCAGCACGTTGATCCTTGGCATTCCAAGAGCCATCATAAGTAAGACAAATGTCAAACTGAACAGACGGAACACCCAAATGTAGATCGTGCAAACAAGAAACACCAAACCCCGGAGGGCAAGAAGGAAGCAAACAATCAGACAATTCTTTAGCCTCTTTACTCCTAGACAACCATGAGGCAATCATAACATAAATCCCAGCAAGAGAGCAAACCTCCGAACGAAATCTAAGATTATTCCTAGCTAACCAAATAGCCCAGAAGAAAGCAAGGATCTCATCTAAACCATGCCAATCCTTAGCAGCCACAAAGCCACTAATGGAATCAGTAAACCATGCACTAAAATCTCGATCCAAGGGCAAAGTCCGAATTACCTCAAGATGGTGAGAAGAACGAACTAAGCTAGTGAACTCACACTGTTGGAAAATGTGAGAGATTGTTTCACAATGTTGATGACAAAACCCACACGTGGCATTAATAGGAACACCTTTCGAGACTAAGACAGCCGCCGTGGGAAGACCGTTATGTAATATTTTCCAAACAAAAATCTTCCATTTTGGTAAAATCGGAAGACCCCAAAAAATTTTCCACCAATGAGGAATGATAGTTACATTTAAAGCTCGAATCATCCCATTGTGATTAAAATATTAGCATACGCAGATTTAGTAGTAAAAGAACCATCCCGTGTAAATTTCCAATACACAAAATCATCCATTTTTTCATGTGGTCTCTCCAAACCCAAGATGGAATCCGCAATAATAGGAGGAAAAACCTGTCGAATACGAGTACTATCCCAAGCATGAGAACCAGGATCAATTATTTGTGATACCACAGTAGGAAGATCATCCGAAGGAATGGCATCCTTGAAACGAACAGAAACCCCCGGAACCCAATCATCATCAGTAATATTGACCTGGGAACCAGAACCCACCTTCCATATCACACCATGAGAAAGAACACAAGCCCCTTCCAACAAGCTCCTACATCCCCAAGAAGGACGAGAAGGCAAACTAGAAGCTTTATAGTTTACAAGACGAGGATACCGAGCACGGTAAATCCTTGAAACTAAAAGTTGTGGATTATGAATTAAACGCCACATTTGCTTAGCTAGCAAAGCCGAATTAAAAGAAGGCACATGACGGATGCCCAGACCTCCTAATCCTCGAAGAAGATAAAGAGAGGCAGAAGGAGTTAAAGCCAAACCCCTAGAAGAACTGTTGTTTTTCCACCAAAAGCGAGAAAGCAGACGGCCAATCTGGTCAGAAATAGTCACCGGCAATTTAAACACCGAAAGCACATGATTTAAAGAAGCTATGACCACCGTATTAATAAGGACTAACTTGGCTGCTTCCGGAAGATGCCGAGAACCAAAAGCAGACAACTTTTGCGTCACCTTATCCACCAGGGATTGAAATTGATGACATTTAGCACGTCCTAAATCCACAGGGAGACCCAAATAAGAACCCAGTGATTTTTTAGTTTGCATATGCAATGCAGAGCTTAAAAAATCACGATAATCTTCCGGAGTATTCGAACTGAACTTAACAAATGACTTTTGAACATTAACCATCTGGCCCGAAATAGAACAAAACCGATCAATAACGTCCAAAAGGTGAGAACACGCAGAAGGATTAACCCGGAAGAAAAGCAATATCATCAGCAAAAAATAAATGAGAGACCGAAGGAGCTCGCCTGGAAATGCGCACACCTTGAAATAAACCATTTCCCTCAGCCTGTCGTAACATTAAAGAGAAAATTTCCATACAAAGCACAAACAAATAAGGAGATAACAGATCTCCCTGACGCAAGCCGCAAGCCGGACGGAGAACAGAAGAAGGCTTGCCATTGATAAGAATCTGGTAGGAAACCGTAGAAACACACTGCTTAATTAGTTGGATCCAGTAAGGAGGAAAACCAAAAGCCTTAAGTACATCCCAGAGAAACTCCCAATTAACTCTATCATAAGCCTTGTTCATATCCAATTTCAAGGCAGCAGAACAAATCTTGGAAGTAGAAGAATTCATATAGGATAACATTTCATGAGCTATAAGACTGTTATCAGACATTAGCCGACCCGGGACAAAGGCAGATTGAGACTCTGAGATCAAGATAGGTAAAATCTTCCGTAATCGAGCCGTCATGCACTTCGCAATACACTTATACAAAACATTACATAGGCCAAACGGGCGAAACTGCGAAGGGTTATCAGGGTGGTCTACCTTTGGCAAAAGAACCAAAAAAGTCCGGTTCCAATCTTTAAGCATATAACCTCGAGCAAAAAAGTACTGAATTGCAGAGGTAACTTGCTTACCAACAGTCGACCAGTGAGATTTGAAGAAAGCAGCCGTAAAACCATCCGGTCCAGGAGATTTATCATTTCCTATATGAAAGATTGCATCCTTTATCTCGGCTGCAGAAAATGGGACTATCAGCTGCTGCTGATGAAGAGAAGACAACACAGGAATATCTAGATTCTCCCAAAGATCTGGAATATTAGAAGATGGATTTTTCTGACAATTATATAAATCCGAGAAGTGCTGAAACAGAAGATTCTCAATTCCCATGGGGTCAGAAATCCAATTTCCATGAGTATCCTTTAGACTAAAAATTTTATTACGACGACGCCAGTCTTGAACTGAAGAAAATAGCAGGTGTGAATTAGTTTCACCAAAAGCATCCCATCTCACTTTAGAACTTTGTTTGCAATAAAGAAATAAATTATGAGCCTGAGAAATTTTCTGATCAGGAAGTGAGAGCCTGTAGACAAAGAATTTACAGACAGTGCTTGCGAACCCACAGAATCCTGTAAATCTTTCCAGTCAATACCCCAATTCCTTTTATGCTCCACACACCATCTCAGCGTTTTATGCCTAAGATGCATCAATTTTTGGGAAAGAACAAACATTTGTGATCCTAAAAGATTAATATCCCAAGCTGAATTTATCAATAAGGATATTTCTCGAATATCTAAACACCAATTTTCAATACGATAAGGGGTTTTCCTAGAAAAGTGAGGACTTGATTCCTTTAAAACAATAGCCGCATGATCCGAAAAGAGGATGGTTTGGTGAATTATCATAGCATCTGGATAAGACTCTAGCCAGGAGCAGGAAGCATATCCTTTATCAAGTCGTTCAAAGGTAGGGTTTCCTAATTGACCATTAGTCCAAGTAAAAGGAGATCCTGTAAAAGGAATGTCAACTAAACCCACAACTATTTTACAGTCTAAAAAACTCATAACGACCAGGGATAGATGGAGTTCCCCCTAATTTATCAGCTAAATACTCCACTTAGTTGAAATTGCCTAATAAAACAACATCAGGGTAAAGGTTTAAAATTTGTAAGAGTTCATCCCAAACCAAAGAACGCAAAGAAACATGAGGCGACCCGTACACAAACACTACATATCTTATTGCTTGACCAGGAACTACACCTTACAAAAGATAACATGAAGCGAAATTGAAACAGGAACTACAGAAACCGGAGCAAACCAAAAAACCACCAAACCCCCGCTTAGACCTAAAGCATCTGAACCACAAAACCCATCAAAAGCTAAGCTAGATAATTTATCTACAACAACATTTACAGGAACTAAAGTTTCTATTAAGAACATGATGTCGATCCCAAAAGAGCGGACTAGAGAAGACACATATGGAACTTTAGGGGAGTCCGCAGTACCTAGGCCCCTACAGTTCCAGGCTGCCACATTCATGGTGGTTGTGGTGGCCCAGAACGGGGAGCCACCTCACCCTCAGAAGAAGAACTAGCTAATGAACCACCACCCTTAGGATCACCCCTACGTTTCTTGAAAGGTTCGAGACAAGCTAAAATTGCCGAGTTTGTATCACCAACAATCAACGGAGGAATAGCAGATTCATGAGAAGTGGTCGTGCGTTTACGAGAGCAACCCTCTTTAACCCAAGACCACATTTTATCACCCTGTTTTGCCAATTTAAGACATAAAGGCTTCTTACCCTTGTTTTTTTCCCATTTTAACCGAATCAGTAGAAGTTGGTGAAGGAGGAGTTGAGGGCCGCGGAGAAATTGGTGGAGAACAGTCCATCGGCACCGGCAAATCAGAATCCACCATCAAATCTTGCTCAGAAGATCCCTGGGTAATTGCAAGAGGTTCATTGGAATATTGAACTATACCCGAAGACGAATCCGCCATATAACCAGAATCCGCCCCTCGGTTTCCCATAGCTTCCCATGAAAACTCTTGAACCGGAGAAGGGATTGGACGAGGAGAAGACGGAGTGTTCTGTGAGGAGCCTCGCAATTGTTTAATTCACCCTTGTTGTTTGATCAAAGAGGGCGAATTTATTGTATCTCCCTTATTGATCAAATATAAGACAACGACTTGTTTTTCGCCCTCTTTGATAACAATAAAATAGGGCGAGTTACGTATGCCCTACTTGATGGTTTATAAGAAGGAAAAATTCAAATTGCCCTCTTTGCCAAAATAAAGTCGCCCTCCTTGAACATTTTTCTTGTAGTGTGTTTACTATCCTTCTACTTTGTTAACTATTAGAAACCTTTGTTACTACAAGATCTTGACGGTTCCAAGTGCCCTCCCTATAAGTTTTTGCACTGCTGAATGTAACTAAAACATAATACGAAGTACATTATACTGCACTATCTATTTGCTAAACAAATTTCTTCCTGTATAAAATCCAACAATTTTATATTGGAAAAATTAGAAAAAATAATCCCAACTTTCATGGATTTTGCTACAATAATCCCAACTTAAATTATTCTAGAATAATCCGAACTTTGGGGGTTATTATTTTTCTTCAATCCCAAATACCGGTTACCGGTTGAATGGGTTTTTTTTGTTTTTTTTTGTTAAAGTTGACACGTGTCACAACTTGAATGGTTAAAAAAATAAAACAAAAAAAAGAAGCAAAAGTAAAAAAAAATAAAATAAAATAACCCATCCAACCCCTCCCAATTCCGGCCACTAGCAAAATCCCAACAACCACCCCCGTCGCCGCTGATTCCCCTTCCCCTTTCGCCGTTGATTCCCCCTCCCTCTCTTTTTCGTTTTCTCGTTTTCCGGTGACATTCGAAAATCCTTGAAACCTCTTCCTCCACTCGAAACACCCTTAAAACCACCTCCCCCACTCTCTAAAACCACCAAAAACGCCTCCACCACCATTGAAAACCCTAGCCACAAGGATTTCGAGGTGGTTCGAGGAACGATCTGGGATTTTTGAAAGTGGGGAGGGGTTTAATTGGTGGTTTCGTGGGGGAATGGGGGTGGAGGTGGGTCGCAACGACAGCACCAGGGGTTTAGGGGGATAGTGGCGCACTGTTGGGGCAAGGGAAGGGATGGGTACGTGCGGCCGGCGGTGGCAGGTAGTGGTGGTGGGGGGGGGGGTTACGGTGTTCAGGTAGGGGATATAAGGGTTTTCTTTTTCTTTTTAAATAATTTTTATTTTATTTTTCTTTTTATGGACCAATTGAAGCTTGACATGTGGCACATAACCTGCTATAACCAATTGAAGAAAATGAAGACCCCCAAAGTTCAGATTATTCCAGAATAAATGAAAGTTGGGATTATTCCACCAAAATTCATGAAAATTGGGAGTTTTTTTTCTAATTTTTCCTTTTATGTTTTCTTCTCACAAAACCCTACTACTGTGGCACGATGACCTTTCTTCCCTATTTCTTCTATAGCATCATCAAGAGAAAAAAAAAAGATTTCTTGAAAGATCAGAATATACTGAAAAACAACAATGTGCAGAATTTCCAACTACACAATCAACCGTTACCAAATACACATTATAATTAGATTATAGAAAAAATTGCTCCCATTAATCTGTACTTTGCCTCGTCCGCCGAAAATAATCCCAACTTTCGTTTATTATCTATTGCACCCAATTTTAGGGGGTATTAATTTCTATTGCACCCAACAGGTCATCCAACCTGATGTAACAGGTTACCTAGACACTGTCAACACGTGATAGGTCAAAACAAATTTAGAAAAAAAGAAAAAAAAAACAAATTTTTTTTTTAAAAAAACCTGCCAAACCCAACCCCCCACCCCTATCCCGGAAAACACTACATCACCACCCCCAACCCCGCCGGAAAGTCGCGCCCACCCCTGAAAACCCCTCCCCCGCTGCTGGAAACCGCCGCCCAGCCACCCCTTCCCTTTCCCCACCCCCGAAAACCCCTCCCCAGCAGCCCAGCCACCCTCGAAAACCCCTCCTCCCCCTCGAAAACCCCTCCCCAGCAGCTTCCGTTTCCGACAGGAGGGTGGTCGTTTCCGCCCCCTCCGATTCTTCCTCTTCCTCTGATCGCCCCCTTCCTCCCTCTGATTCGCCCTCTTTCCTGCCTTCCTCCCTCCGATTTCGCCCTCTTCCCCTTCGTTTCCATCCACCCCCTTCCTCTTCGATTTCCGACCTCGATCGGCTTCGTCGGCCCATTCTGGAGCTTTACCCTTCGATTTTCGCCCTTCCCCTCCGATTTCCGGCTGCTGCTTGGTGGCCGGTGCTCGGGGGCAAACGGGGATGGCCGGTGCTCCGGGGGAAACGGGGTGGTTTTGTTTTGTTTTTTTTTTAATTAATTTTTAAGTTTTGATTTTTTAATTTTTTTTTTACTTTTGAACCAATCTGATTGCGACACGTGTGCAATTAATCACAAGTCAGCAAAATTTACCTCTTCAACCGGTTTCAAGTCATTTGGGTGCAATAGAAATTAATACCCCCTAAAGTTGGGTGCAATAGATAATAAACGAAAGTTGGGAATATTTTCGGCGGACGAGGGAAAGTTCAGATTAATGGGAGCAATTTTTCCTAGATTATATGCATGGAGGTCAATTTAGACCGGGTTTACTTTTATTATTTGTATTACTCAAGTTCAGAGGGGATAATCACACACACTCTCTCTCTCTCTCTCTCTCTCTTATGTTTTTACAAAAATTCACAAAGTGAATCCTATGTGTCCCTCCTCTTTTCAGAAAGTACTCTAAAATGGTATCCTTGGGCTTCGTATCGAGTTATGTCAATAAAACCTATGACCGATGCAATCAGATCAATACATAATCTTCTTCTTCTTCTTCTTCTTCTTCTTCTTCTTCTTCTTCTTCTTCTTCTTCTTCTTCTTCTTCTTCTTCTTCTTCTTCGCCTTGAACGCCTTAATCCCATTGTGAATAACGGATTAAATACTCACTTCCAAATTGAAAAAAAAGACTAAACCTATCATTATAAACTAATCACCAAAAGCTACATAATTCTATATTTCTATGTCTACTACATTTCAATAAAACTCATCATATATACATAAATTCAAATATAATCAGCTCTAATATTATAATTATCCAACAAAATAATCTTATCAATAGAAAAGGAAAAAAAGGTCACAGTGACCACAAGATAGCAATAAGAAAATCTTTAAATTTAAAGAAATGTTCTAAATACAATAATGCTCTTGCTGAAGGAATTCAGTATTATAAAGCCTATGACTAAACAAAGCATTTACTGGGAAAACTATACCTCTCATAGGGATAATTATTTAAAGGAAAAGAAGCCTATTCCGGCTCGGCAAGGCAAATGTGAACAGGCCCTAAGTTACTAAACAAGTGTAGCTTTCATGACGCTTTGTTTTACATCGTTTGATTATCACTGACCTACATATACTGATGTCTCATTAAGTCATTATGATTCCATTTGGTTCCTTAAGCATCATATGGAGATCACTTAATTGATTATTCAGCAATATTTTCACTAAGCTTTTGTGTTCATCTTATAGGTAGAATTTATTATGAAACATGCAATCCAGCGAAATATTAAAGGATCTGTCAAACTCCATAAGATAAAATAATTGATCACATAAGAAAACAATAGAGAATGAAAGCATCGACTTACCCTGAAAACCAAGAAGTCTAGGAAAAACAGGTATCTATTTGAGCATCAGGGGAAAGGAAACCTGGAATCAGCAATGGTGTAGGAAGAATAGGTTATCTAACACCAGGTCTCCAGGTTGCATAAGGCAATGCCAATTTGAAAAGCACCTTGGTCACTAAGGTGCTCCTTGATTCTCTGATTAATCAAACTTTGTATTTGTTTCTCCTCAAATTGTTGATTGTATATCCATACATTTTCCCAAAATCAAATTCAAATAACCGTCACAAATAATTTGCCGGAACTAATCAAAATCATAGGTTATTCACTTAAGAATTTTGCACTACCTGAATCAAATTTTGAAATTTAGGTATTTGCTCGATGGGCAGTCTACTTGTATTGGAATCAACCGGGGATAAAGCTTTCCCCTGTGGACTCTGACATTCGCAAACCACTCCAAAAATAATACAAAATGTTGAGGGGTGGATAAAAATATTGATGGGATAGAGATGTAAAGTTTTTTCCTGGACACTCCAAAGTAGAGAGGATTTAAAATATTAGCTTAATAATCATGCGCAAAGCTCAATGGATTTTATCTAGTTCGATGTTCAAGACTCAATAACTCCAACCCTAAGAGCAAAAGAAGAAACCTTAAGAGCTAACATACATCAATTTAACTCTAGCATAGAAATTAAAAAACAAGAATAAAATAATGCAGAGATCTAAAATACTAATCATGAAAAACCCGTACCTAAATATGAAAATATGTTTAGGATTTTCTGACCCATATTAGAACTCCTAAAGCTTAAGACATCATTTGCACAAGTTACATCTTCCTCAAACATACCTCATGATAACTTCATCTTCAGTGTGTCAGACACAGGTTTGAAAAAATTGTCAATCAATTCGAACTAAGGAAATTTTGACTTTTACCACCTTCAAATAACCACTTATTTGAATTTACCACCTCCAAAAAAAAAAGATTTACTAAACCACCAACAAAATTTCCAAAAATTCGATTTTACCACCAACTAACGGATTCCGTCCACGAATTCGTTAGTAGGGCTCTTTTTGACGTTTCTTCTTCATCTTCCCCGATCTTCCGTGTAAACTAACCAGCAATGAAATCAACTACCTCGATTGGTCGGAATTTCGTGTGGGACTAACGAGGGGCCGGAATTTGGTGTGTGGGTTAGGGAGGTGGTCGGAGTTAGGTGGTAGTTAGGGTTTTAGGAGTGCGAAATTTGGTAGTAGCTAGGGTTTTTAGAGTGGTCGAAATTAGAATGGGCTTTATGGGTGGTCGGAATTTGGTGGCTAGGCGTTAATACCCAAAACCAAAACTAACACCCAAAAACTGAGAAGACAAATCACCAACAACAGGAATACAAATCAAGGATAATCAACATTTCTACAAACCAAAGCAATTAATCCATTACAACACCCACAAATCGAAACCTCAAAACCAGAAAAAGAACTAGGTAAATCAAACCTCGTTAAATCGTTATCAACATCAAGCTCAGAACCCCACTTCAATCGCGTCGATTCCAGGTGACTTCCATAGTTGAGGATAAGAAGCCGACGGTCAGAGGGGAGAGAATGAGCGAGATGAAGTCCGATAAATGGGTGTTGCTGATTAAGGAATGCCAAGCCTTGGAAACGCATTTGAAGCGAAGTAGTGATTTAGTGGGTAATCGGGTAAGAATGGAGGTGATTAACTCCATTGGAAGAGACGCCATTGTTATGGATTTCGAGAAAACAGAGCAAAAATAAATAAAAATTGGTGGAAAGGGGGTCGAAATCGGTGTGGTGGTTGTGGCTGTGCAATGCGGTGGTAGTGGTTAGGGGGTGGGGCTGGTCATAGCGGTTAGGTGGTGGGGGCTGGTACCGACTAGGTGGTGGGGGCTGGTCGTAGCGGTTAGGTGGTAGGGATGGTCGTAGCCGGTCCGGCGGTGGGGGTCCCGACGGTGGCAACAACCACCGGTTGATTGATGGGGACATTTATTTATTTATTTTTTTGTTATTTTTTTTAAATTACCCAATAATATGGCGACACGTGTGCAAGGTAGGCCCCACTAACAGATTTATGGGCGGAATCCGTTAGTTGGAGGTGATTGGTGGTAAAACTGATGTTTTATTTATTTATGAGGTAATAAAGTAAATCTTTTTTTTATGGTGGTAAATTCAATAAAATCGTTAATTGAAGTTGGTAAAAATCAAAATTTCCTTATATTACTATGAAATATTTTGAAAAGCAATACTAAAATCCCATTTTATTTCTTACTAGCTTAAATCCCGTGCAATGCACGCCTGCACGGTTGTTAAATACTTTTGAAAATAATATTATAAAAATTATATAAATAGAATAACTCATGTATTAAAAATATGGTGTACATTAAAAACAAAAACATGCAAGAGAAAATATTTAAATTACATGTAACATTTATAATGAAAAGTTTAATATTTTTGGAAATGAATTATATTTTATATAAAACAAATATCATAATATAGGTACAATTTTTTTTTTTCTCTAAATAACAATGATTTATTTTAAGAAGGTACTTTTGGAGGGAAAATTTTTAATGCAACATTGACAAGTATCTTTTTGTATTCGCTTTTAGTATTATGTAATTGATTGCTCACAGGTTGTTTGCAAATGACAATGAATAAATTATGAGAAAAGAATAAAAGTAAACCAAAGAAAGGCCCACTAGGTTTCACACAATCCCACGTACAAATTTTTCACTACACCTAAGCTCATCTATCTCTCCCTGCACCCCCCTACGAGTACTACGTCGTTTTATACTTCAGTGCCTTTTGCATGCTTTTTTCCCCCCTTTTTATCTTCTTTCCTTGTTTAATTTTCAGTTTAGTAACTTATTTCTTTATTCAATATGTTAATTCCAGAGCTTTTATTTTCTCTCCCTCTCCTCTTTTTTTAGTGATTTCATTTTCTCTCTCCTCTTTTTTAGTTTATTTTTTTTAATCGTATTTCAATTTCTCTATGTTCCTTCGTAAAGATTTCTAGATTAGTTGATTTTGATCATGATTGTGCAATTATTTTTCCTACTAGAGTTGGATTAGATGCTTTAAAAAATCAATTTCAGTATATTTTATTGTTAAAGTTGATTAATCAATTGATTGTGTTTATTTTTCACTTTAATTTGATATTTCTATGTTTTTTTTATTGTTTTTGTTTTATTTAAGATTCGATTCCATTTTTTTTTGTTTATAATCATATTAGTTTTTATAATTTTCTATTTTGTTATTTGTTATTTTTTATAATGATTATTGTTCTTATATTTGATTGTTATTTCTTATATCGTTTTATTGATCTTATTTTATACTTTGGAACCTAACTTTATTATTTAATTTTATTTTCTTGTTATTGATATTGTCTAGTTTCTATTTTAATTTCTATTTTTTTAATTCCTGTTATGTGCATTACATGAACATTGATAGTTTCATAATTTTTGTTATTGGATTGTTTTAATCATTTTTCTGTGTTGTATTGGTACATTTATAATTAATTATAATGTTGTACACTTTTGTAATAGTAAATGATCATTTATGTTATATATTTATGTTCAGTAATCAATTTTATGTTAATTTTGTTGTATTTTCAATATATATGTGTATATGTCTATTTTAATGATAAACATTGGTTTGTATTTGTTCATATGCCTTTTAAATAGTGAACAAATTTTATTATATGTTAATGTGTAGAGTTATAAAGATGTTCAGTTATGTAATGATAAATGATCATTTATGTAGATATATATGTTTTTAATATAATAATAATATAATTGAACATTATTGATATTATATTTGTTTATTATAATTATTGCAGCCGATAGTAGAAATGCTCAAGATACTCTTATTGTTTCAAGGAATGTTCACGCTGCTTCTAGCTAGTGCTTCAACAAATGTTCAAGCTACTACAAGTGTTTCAAGAATTGTTCAAGCTACTACTAGTGTTAGTTCTAAGAAGTGTTCGAGGTGGTTTAGGACATACTTCTATTAAGTATGATAAGTTCTTAGTCTTTTTTGATACAAATGTAGCTAAGAGGTTCACTAGTAATGGTAAATGAGGGAGTACATTAGGAAACCATAGCTTTTAAATTACTACTTTCATGAGACTGCATTTTATATTTTTATCATGTAATGGATCTAAGGTTGTGTTTCTATTAAGCAATGTTTTCTTTCAACCTTAATATTGTTAGTGATGTAAATTATTTGCAAATGAACATTTCATAGATACAAAACACCGAGTTGTTAAATATGTTAAAAAAAGAAATACTAGCTATTTAACATACAATATTAAAAAAAGAAATATCAAATTCTATTAAAAAAAATAGAAATACCAAATAAAGACTCTTAAGCGAGTAAAATCTATAAGTTCTATTGAACACATATAAGAACATATATCTTTGTATAAATGAACATATATAAATTTATAAATGAACATGTAATACTACTCTTTTGTAATTTTTCTTGATAATCTTTTGTTGATCCTACATTCAGTGTTTTCTTCAAAAGCATTAGTTGAGTTGTGTATTGCATCCTCAGCTTCCTGATTTGGTCTACCTGTTGATAAAAATGAATATATAATATAATATTAATTGTTATTTAATAATATATAAATGAACGATATATTTTAAGTAAATGATCATTTGATGGACTTACATTGTTTGGGTTTAAGTCACAAATCCATTTTTTATTTTGATCACCAGTGAATTTTTCCATGTGTTTCATAATGTAAACTTCACAATTTGTGTAATCCTCATTGCCACTTTAAATGACACATCACTACAATATAGATTATATCAATTTATATGAAGAAAAAAAAAATGTTCAGTATGTATTTCATATATGTTCATATATGTATCTACAAATGAACATTATTTTTTAATATAAATGGCATATTTTTTTACAGGTAGATGCGCATATATGAATTATAAAATATGAATAGCATATCCATCTCTAAATTCCATCAAATGTTTCACTTAAAATGGTATAAAACTATAATCTAGCTTTGTTTATTATGCATTTAAAAATGTTCATATATGTATGTAAAAATGCTCATAATATTTAAAAATAATGAACATATTAATAAATGTAAATGCACATATATAAACTATTAAAAAAACATTTGAATGTATTACCAAGTTTTGTATGCATGCGTTCATAATGTTTTATACAAATCAATAACACATATTTAAAATTAAAAAAAAAATCAAATCTGAATATGTTAATAAATATATATTAACATGTAATTATAGGTAAACATGTGAATATTTTCATAATATGATATGAAAATGAACATATAGTGCTTTATAATTGTTCATTTTACCTAAGCATCCGAGACACTATTTTTACATCTGCAGCCTTAACGCTTGTATATCTTTGAAAGTGTTGGATTTACAATAGGAGATTTTTGTTCGCCGGTTTTTTTGTAGAGGTGTTTCACCATCATCTCAATTTTTACATTATAAACCATTTAATAAATTTTTTTTAATAAATTCTTGTAAATTTAAGAAGTTTGAGTAATATACTTACATTTTTGAAGAATCGTTGTTTCTGTTCTCTGAAATAGATTTCTCCAAACTGAAAAATGAAATTGAAGCAAGTAGATGTTAATTTTACTAATTATTCGAAATAATCACTTTGAAATTGATGAATTATTAACATAAATACTTACATATATACATTTTCAGTTATTAAACTATCAATTTGTTTCCTGAAACACAATCACAAATAAATTCTCAAAAAATTAGTTTTTTTTTTTTAAAAAAAAAAAAATTTATATGAACATTTATACTTACTCTTTTGATTTTCGCTACTTTTTTCGGTGAAATTTGCTTCGGTTGTTTGACTTCGTCTCTAATGTCAGCCATGGTTGAAGTTTTAAAGCTTAGATGAGAGAGATAATGGAGAGGGAAAATAAAGAGAGAACAAGATGTTTTTTTTTTTTTTTTTTTTTTGGGTATATATATTTGTGGGGTAGAGGAAATTACTGAAATTTTTTTAGGATTTTAGGGAGTAATAGTATGCTGCATTTTGTGAGGGTATAGTACTGCAGAAACTATGAAAGTAGGTAGATGGGGGAAGGGGTGTTAAACGATGTGTTTAGAGAGGGGTGTAGGGGATGATGCCTAGACTAGAGTCTAGCCATAAATAATTACGAGCTGCACTTCCACAATTAAATGAAAGTGGGTTGAAAACCCACTAACTCAACATTCCTAAAAAGAAAACAAGCAGCAGCCGCACAATTAATCAGAGGAAACCCTCAAATTTAGAGTACATCCATCCGTTGCCCTCTTTGGGTGGTCATGAAGAGAGAGAATTTCCAAAAAATATTAAAATAATAAAAGGGAGTGATTTTTGAGGGAAATGGTGCATGACCAGGTTATGGCCATGCCCATTTGTGAAGAGTGGGCAATGGATGTGTATGTGAAACTTGTCCAAGAGCTATTGGTTGATAGTTTTTTTTTATTTTATTCAATTTACATTCCTTCACGTGGGAAATTGGAGGAGGGAAGAAAGAGAAAATCAATAACCATAAAATTAGAGGGTAACTAATGGGAGGGCATGGGCATAAGTGGGTATGGGAGTTGGGCATGAATGAAGTGGAAGAGAGAGAAATTAATTAAAAATGTGATGACCACCATTGCCTTGGGCAATGGATGGCTATGCTCTTAGTTGGATGTCTATAATGTATGCTTTTGTTTTAAAATGGCAATAAATTTCATATAATATTGGGATGTAGCCTAACTATTAGGATTACCATTTTATGCCAAATAAATTGATGTTTGTCAGCCAACAGTATGAAGTTATTAATGGCCATATATGCAGGCCTTGGTGATTTCGAGCTTTACCAATACAAGGTAAACCTAATAGAAAGCGCTCCTAACATTAAGTAAATAAAGCTCCCTTCAAGCCCAAAAAAAATTAACATGTTCAGGTCTGGTTATCAGCCAAAATCTCTAATTTGCGTATTTGTATATATGGTTTGGCAGTGGCGTATCTAGGAATTCAGAAGTGTGGGTTCGGAATCATTAAAAGAAATATATAGCCCCCAAGGTCCTTTTTAATTGCAACTTTGGCGATTTTACGCTTGTTAATAAAAATTCTATAACTTAAATATCTTAGATTACATTTTTTGTTAAAATTAAAGAAAGTTGTTATCATTAAAGCATTTTTTAGATGAATTGAATCTAACAATATACCATTTGACTATACATATTTTTTCCCAACACAAGAATCACAATATATATATATATATATATTGCAATTATAAATATTGTAAAATTATAAATATTGCAATTAAAAAAGAACCTAGGTTACATGGGAATTGAACCTTTGTCTTTGAAGCAGAAAGGAAGAAAAAAAAATAAAAAGGCTAAGGAAAGAAAAATAAAGGGGGAAAAAATTAAATTAAATAGACTATAAAAAACAAAGCAGAAGAGCAATAAAAGTTAAATAAGCTAAAAGAAGAGAAGCAAAGAAGAAAAAAGGGAAAAAAAAAAGGCTTAATAGAAGAGGTTATCGAGAATCGAACCGTGGACCACCAACTGCAATGCGCGCACATGCATCAGCCCAATACCACTGAGCTCCACTATTTTCCCATTTTCATTATCATACATCAATTGTATACTTCCTCCGTTAACTATTATTTGCAACAAAGGGGTTGTTTGACAAAATTTGTTTGTGAGAGTAAAATGAAGAGAGAAAAAATTGGATGCATGTGATGAGGAGAGAGATAAAGAGAAATGATTACCTAAAAAAAAAAACATTTGTTGCACATAATAGTTAGCATCCATTTATAGTATATGTTGCAAATAATGAAATAATAGTTAACGGATGAAGTATATCTGTTTTTCAGGTTTTATTAACAAAAAAATTAAAAAAAAAAAGTAAAAAAACTTTTTTTCCCTAAAAAATCAGTGGGTTCAATGAACCCACTTGAACCCATCGTGGGTCCGCCACTGTGGTTTGGTGAATTCATATTTCTATTGATTCTTCTTTTCCACAGCGGAACTGCAATGTCTATAACTTATGCTGAGGAGATGGAAGTAATATTGGCAAATATGACTTCCTTTCTTTTCCTCAAAAAGGTACACTCCACGTAGTCTTTATGTGCTTTAATTAACTCCAAATAGCCCTCTCATAATCATCGAAAAGCCCAGACCAATTAGATGATTTTGACCCCTTACCTCGAACAACATATGGCTCCGATTTTCCCTCATAAGCATACGTCCCGTTATCCTTATAGTCATATCCACGTCCCAAATTAGACGTACTTCCCCACAAACTCAGAATATTGATGATCTAAAACCCTTAGGAGGATCATAATGTAGCATTACTAATATTAAGAAAAGTGGCAAACTAAAAATCAATTACTTGAGCTTTGAAGGAAATTTCTTGTTTCTTCTTAAGCCCTTAAAATCAATTTGTTGCTTTTTAGGAATGGTCGAATGGACGGTGGTTTTCAAATATTCATATAATTATATAAATTCTTTAATTATGATCCAATGGAATATAAACTCTAATCAACTCTTCATTTAAATAGTTAGCCTTCTGGTAAGCAGCATTTCCAAGGACTATACGTCTATACATACTCAGGGACAGCCGGACAGCTACATATAGAATCTGGACCTCCTCACACCCTGTCTTATAACTGTTATAAGATTGATATAGATCAATCTCAATTTTTGTTCTGTAGCTTAATAAGGTAATGAAAGAATCTTACTAGAGCAACAAAAAAAAAAATTTCACATTGTAAATTGCAATATAATATTGGAAAATTATAACAAAACGGAAGTCTTTAAATCCTTACACAACATAAAATCCATATGTAAACTGCAGCAAGCTATCACATGAATCAGCAAATTCACCACCCTAAGCAGCTTCACAAAAGAGTTTTTTATACGTACTATCAGTATTCACTAGGACTTATATGCAGCAAGTAGTCTTATCTTCATTTCTTGAATCAGGATAATCATCTTTAACATTACCACCCTGAGCAGCTTCTTCAGCATATTGCCCGATGAGTTTCAGGATCCACCTTATCGTCCATTGCGCTGTAAAAAACCCAAAAAGACCAGTAGAAAGTAAGGTACCGAATCCAACAGCCATATGAATTTGCCAGCTCTTTTGGACGAGAGCCCCTAATTGGGTGTGCTTGGTTAGAACGTTCCAAACCAGGGAATAAACCAGATTCTCATACACGAGGAATGCAATTGAACCAGTCACAACTGTGCCCAAATCCACCTTTTTATCTGTTATCCTCCCTCTCACAACGACACCACAACAGCACACAACCCTAGATATCCAGCCTACAAGGTTGCTAACGATTCTTTTCACCCATTTGTATCCTTGGTTCACAACCTTCTTAACTACCATCATATTGCAGCAACACATCCAGCCTTTAATCTGGTAGAGGATCCCAAAAAATTTATTAGACAGAGAAACACTCATTGAATTCAGCTGTTGAGTGTGGCATAACACAATCCCCTGTTGACTTTGCGGATCAACCACAGGATCAGTGGGTGGATCTGGAATAGGATTGTCTGAATCGGGCATGTAGGAAAAGCGTTGAAGTGTATGATGTTGCTCTTAAGATGTCTCAGATTGCTGCTGGTCCAACCAGATCTGCAGCTGCGGCTGGGCTAACTGGATCTGCTGCTGCAGCCGTTCATGCATACGCAGCTTGCTTTGCTGCAGATCCTTCTGCCTCCGTTCCTTCTCCAGCTTCTCCTGCCCTGTCGACACCTGTATCTCCTGCTGTAGCGTCTCTATTTCCATCTCCATCGACACAATGTCCTTCTTCACCTTCAAGCATGATTGGAAATCCTGTTCTTGCATTTCTATCAGCTTATGTTGTTCTTCACGTTGTGACAGATAACTTTTCAGTTTGCTTCCATATGATGTAGATCCCCCAGATTCAATGTCAGGATCATAAACTCAATTAGTCAGGCGCCTCCACAGTGAGAATGACTTGCCCATCTGATTTTACTAGAAGAACAACAAACAATTGACAAAATAAACAAAATTAAAACTATCTAACTCATAGGCAGAACTAGCCCCCAATAACAGTAGCCCAATCAGACTTATGGCAACAACCACAACACCCTACACCCTTCCTAAATTAGCAAAACAGATCAAATCTGCAAACGTCACACCCATCCTCAAGAGCAACCCTGCCACATCGACACAGTACCACCCAAATAACTTAGGCTATAAATTGCTCTAACATCTTTGATTTAATTTTTAAATAAAAAAAGTGAAAATTATACGTTGTTTGTATAAAGATGCAACCTCTAACAATGGAAATGGTACCCTTATAATTAAACATAAAATCAAAAAATAGATAATTCACAAGATTAACCTAACAATAAAATCTAGAGATAAACCTCAAAAAGATTTCAGCCAAATACATTTCATAATTAATGCTCTAATTAAGGGAAATATGCTTAACAATACAATCCTAACAATTACGAACCAAAAAACCCAATCAAACTGACAAACTAAGCCAAGAAATCATTTCATTCTCACAAAATTCGTACAAATTAACCTACATTATACTAAAACAAAGTGAATATTGACAAAATTACTAAGAATATGAAAAAAAATTAACAAAATTACTACATACCCAGTTTACATAATATCATTATACATCATATAACATAAAAAAAAATTGACAAAATTACTAAGAACTGAAAATATTAGTAAATAATAAACGAAAACCATTAAATGAAAGAACCCGTGCATAAATTTGCACCAATGAAGAAAACACGCCAAGAAAAGAAGCAATTGATCAAATTCTAAGATGTTAAAGTAAAATGGAGCAGATTTATACCTTTCCAGCAAGAAAATCTCCAAAAAAAGCTTTAACCCAGAAGATTTTGATGATGAAGAACGAGTATATTCTGCGACAATAATATGAATTTTGAGGAAAATGAGTAAATTGTAGTAAAAGAAGTAAAAAAGAGAGAATATAAATGGGAAATTAAAGAAATCAACCTTTGCTAATTGCTATTATTAAAAGGTAATGAAGCTTCAGCTAAATTTTGGTATCATTTGTTTCTCTTTTATAAGCGTGACTTAAAATGGTATTGAACAAATTTGACGAGTAGTCGTATGACACTACGAAGTATGAATGTACGATTAGGCCTGAAATTTCAATTGTTTTCAATTGTTGTAAATTTGGAATACTACTTGTAGTAGAAATGGATTAAGTTATTTTAATTGATGATACGAGCCTGAGAGGCGCATATTCTTAGGTGCACACTCATGCACCTAGAAATAGGTGTAACAACAGCACAATATGATCATTAGCTTTTCAGAAAGTGAACATAGGTATAAAAAATATGAATATTAGCTTTTCAGAAAGTGAACATAGGTATAAAAAATATGAATATTAGCTTTTCAGAAAGTGAACATAGGCATAAAAATGTGTGATTTTCGGTTTCTTATGTGGTGACTTTGTGATTAACTTCGATTAATTAGGTTATACTACCTTCGTTAACATTTAGTTGCAACTTTGGCGTATTACTTGAGAGATGTAAAATATTCCAAAGTTGCAACTAAATGTTAACGGAGGTAGTATGTGATTTTCTTAATTCTAACTAATTAAATTTTATCTGATTTTCTGCTTTTTTTTATCAATGAACATAATCATGCAAGATATGAACATATGCATAGGTTCCCTTACATGTGAACATTAGCTTTTTAGAAAGTGAACATAGGCATAAAAAATATGAACTTATGCATTTCAGAAAGTGAACATAACATTTCAAAATATGAACGTAAGCATTGGTTTTCTTAAAGTGAATATAAGCATTTAAAAGGTGAACATATACGTAAAAAAATATGAACATAAATATTTAAGAAAGACAACATATACATAAATAGATTTAATTAATATTTCATGAACATACTACATATTTACATTATGAATATTTGAAATTATTTATGAATATATAAAATATTATTATGAATATAATGCATTTAATTATGAACACAAAAATTTAAAGAAATAAAAAATAATATGATTATGAAACATATGCATTATAAGTATTAAATGTTCATTTTTTTTTAAGTATTCATTTTTTATTATTAAATGTTCATATTTTTTTACTAAATGTTCATATTTGTTTTTATTAAATGTTCATATTTTTTTTACTAAATGTTCATTTTGTAGAGCGTAGTGTTGATTTTTTTTTATGTTGTTGCATCTATCTAAGGTGCACAAGGGTGCACCTTAGACTAATTGTCTTCCCCTAATCCCCTACACCCCTCCTTAAACACGTTGTTTAGCACCCCTTCTCACACATACCCACTTTCACAGTCACTACACAGTTGTTTACCCCATGTATATACAAAAAAATAAAAAGATAAAATAATAAAAATATTCTACCCATCTTTCTCATTTCACTTTTTTTTTTTTTTTTTTGTTTTCTCATTTCACTTTGTCTTTCCCCATTCATTTTTCAGCATTTTCTCTCTCTACACCCATTTTTTCGCATTTTCAAATCAGAAATTTTCTACGAATTTGTAACAAATTATCAAAAATAATTGTTCAATCAATACAGGATTCAACAATCAAGGTCGAAATTCAAAGGAATTAGTGATTTTGTTCAGATTTTGTTCGAAAAAGAGTATAAACCCTAATTTTAATAATTTTGTGTTGCAATTGTGTTATAGGAACATCATCGAAGCATAAAACATGGAAAAAGAGTATGAACTATTGCATTTTAGTAATTTTTACTAACTTTTGTTTTTAAAAACTAAAAATCTAAATAAGTACATTTTGATTTTTGAGTATGAAGTAATTCATTTTTTTTACAGTACGAAAGAAAAAGGTCAATTTCTAACGGACAGATTCTAACGGACCCAAATTCCATCAGAAAAACCAAAATTTTCAACGAAATTATACTCCATCGGATATTTCCGACAAATTTAAAAATTCCGTCAAAATGAAAAATATTCCATTGTAAATGGAAATTCCGACGGAATTTATATCCGGCGAAAATTACATAGGAACTTATTTTAAAAAAATAAAAATAAAGCAAACCCTAACAACCCTAAACCCAACCGCCTTCTTCATTTCCGCCTCTTTTTCACTTTCTCCTTCTCACATTCTCCTCTCCTCTCCTCTCCGGTTTCTCTTTCCTCTGTTCTTTCTCATGCCTCTCTCTTTCTCCTCTTTTCTTTCTCTTTCTTTATTTCTTTCTCACGATTTTCCCTCCTCTCCTCTACTCCTCTTCCTCTATGAAAATTAGCACAACATCACAAATTTTGCTTAATTTGGCCAAAATGTAGGTTTTCATATCAAAGCAAAGATTTTCATGGTCAAAACAAAGGTTTTCGCACTCCCTCCGTGTTTTAATAAGTGTTACACTTCCTTTTTTGGCAAAAAACTACATTAAAATATTATATCTCGCTCCTCTCATGGTCCCCATCCAAACCACTACTGCTTTTTTTATTATATATTTCTAATCAAATTCATTACTTTTCAATAAACCATTAACCCCACTATCTTTCTTTTACAATTTTTTAATACTCCAACTACTCCTCTTACCTATTATTTTATTTAAGTCAATTAAATTGCCTAAAACTATGCGGCGGTCAAACTGTAACCCTTAAAAAAACACGGAGGGAGTAACAAAATTCACAAAATTTGGCCAAAATTAAGCGAAGGTTTAAATGGTCAAATTTGACATAGAGTTTTCATGGTCGAATTTAACCATTTTAAACCAAATTCGAGATGAAATTCAAGGCCCTTTTTGGTTTAAAAGGTATGTTTTCTTATTTTTAATTTCTTTCTTTATTTTTGAAATTTTAATAAATCCATTTTATATGATATGATTTCTACTAATTTTCGTGCATGTTTTGGTTAATTTCATTATTTTTGGTAAAAATTTGGTGGTGGTGGTTTCAGTTTGGTGTGGGTGAGGTTGTGTTGTGTTGGTTTCAGTTGTGGGTTAGGGTTATTGGTGGGAGTTTTTTTGGGTAAAAATCACACATGCCATGTGGACCAACCAATGGACAACACATGTCAGCCTAGGATAAGTCCAAAGTGGACCTATTGTAACACCCCCAAATCTCTCTCTACGGAAATACTAGTATAATAAGTATAGTTATACCGTAGAGATAGACTTAGGCGTATCACCGCCGCGTGATTACGCAAGGCTACTCAAAATACTTAACTCAATAACAAAACTTTGCAGCGGAAACTTCAATACTCCTCTTTATTAATAATTATAAAAATAGTAACATTGTCATGAATACTCTAAATAAAGACAAGACCAACATTTCTAAACTAGGTGAAGCACATCCCAGGACTACCATATGCTCATTCATGACTCCACCTAAAAATAATCAACACTGCTTACCATTACGGTAAACAGGGCGGCGAACCAAAACAAATAAGAAATACGGATTAGCAAATTATGCTAAGTACGATAAGTGCAAGATAATGTAAATTCAATTTATTTGCAAACATGCTTTAAAACCAATTCTATAATTAATCCAATAATTCCAAAACTCATGATTCAAAACCAATTCCAATGATTCAACATTCAAAATAATTGATAAACCAATTCTTTTAAAATCCAATTCCTTTTTGAACCAATTTCTTTTAATCCAAATCCTCACCCAAGTGTGCACACCCCCCAAGCTAGTCTCCTTATATTACAAGGCTATTCTTGAGGAAATACTAGGTCATAAAAAGTCCATAGTTTTATCAATAAACCAAATCCGCATAGTGGGATTACTAACGTGCTTATAAAGCATTAATAATAATTCAATGGTTCAATAAATCCTTTTCAAATCCAATAATTCCAATATAATTCAAACTCCAATTTAATAATTCCACATACTTTTAAAATCAAAACCTTTTAAATAAATACTTGAGAATAAAATCTCATATTACTAACTTTTCAAAATCAATAACTCTTCCTTGAAAAACCTTTTATTTAATTCAATAAACTTTTCAAATCAAATCCAAACATGATAAGTAATTAAAACCATTCAAAATATGATTTAAAAATCAATCATTCAAAATAGTTTTATCAATACCTCCAAACTTAATTTATTTCAAAATCACAATTCAAATCAATTTAATTCAATCACCAATCAAATCATATAAAACATGTTATTAAAACCAATCACTTTCAAAGGCATTTAGTCACCTAACGTACCTTGATCCTTGCTTAGCAAAACATACCAAAAGAACCTCATGAATCTTGATAGAACACACCCTACAAATAAATATAACCTTAATCAATATAAGGTTAACAAATAATTATAAACCCCCAACTATATGTACATGAACCTTTTAATTAATTTCTCATAAACATCATAATAATATGATTTTATATAATTAAAACTACTCATAATAATTTTTATAAATCCCACATAATAATAATAATAATAATAATAATAATAATAATAATAATAATAATAATAATAATAATAATAATAATAATAATAATAATAATAATAATTGAATAAGAGAAGAGAAGAAGAAAAGATAAGAAACCAAGGAAAAGAGAAGAATTGGATTTGCGTAGGAAATAATAGGCAGAACTTGCAGAGGCTATAACTCCTTTGATATAGCTCTGAATTGGGTGATTCTTGAGCTTAACCTCAAGGAATTTTTGAGAGGAACAACTTTCTGGGAAACATCAATACCCCAAACACTGACCATAAGTGCCCAAAAATTGGCTTCAAAGATAAATGAGATGATTTGTGTAAAATTGAGGAGAAGAAAAGAAGAGAATTGGTGTGAAGAATGTGAGAGGTATGAAGGGGTATTTATAGGCTAGTATGAGCATGAATTATGGTAGGAAAATGTAGGAATAATTATGGTAATTAGGGTTTAAGAGATTACTTGGAGAAGTGAGTAAAGAAATAAGGAAAGTTTCAATATTAAGGTGATTGTGTATAATTGAATATGGAAGATATGTATGTCATGAAAAATATAAAGGAAATTGGAATTACTTGGGGAATAATTAAGAAGAATGAATGGAAAGAAAATATGATGATTGGATACTAAAAAGATGGAGAATTAGAATTAATG